TGAATGATGTTATAGCTGAATATTCTTAAATGATGGTTAAGCATCTGAACGTTTCTTCAGTTGTCGTGGAATTCTAACAAGAACCTTCTCTTTAAAAAATTATTAGCACATTGAAAAATTAAATGTTTCATTAAAGATATGTTAAAATTGGTAATTACATCATATCTACTTAATTTTGGAAATGGATGTGAAAACGTGAAATTTTCTTTTAGAAATTAATAATTACTTAGATGGATTAATAACATCATTAATTGTTCAATAATTGTTCTGCAAGTATAAATTACGAAAAAAATGTTTTTGCTAAATAATGTTTTTGATAAATGATATTTTAATTTCTGTTGTAATTCAAGAACAGAAGAAATGTCAGATGGAATTAAAAAAAGAGAGTTTAAACTTGAAGATTTTTCTTTACTTAGCCAAGTGCCATATCAGATAAACATCATATAAGTTGAACTAGAATTTCCAGTAAGAAGAGGCACAGGAATTTTGTTTAAAATAAAATACATTTTAAGGTTGTAGGAAACTTGAATTATTTTATAGCTGTACATTTGCTGTGTTTTTAGCTTCATAATAGTTCGAAAACTGTCGTAGAATTCTAAGAACATTATCTCTTTTTATTGAAAAAAAATTGAAAAAAAAATTGAAAAAAGGTAAAATCTATCCATTAAAAATGTTTTAGAAGTAACTTTTGCATTATATCTATCTTCATTTGAAAACAGAATTTTATTCCTAACAATTTATGATTTCTTACAAAATAATGATTATAGGAATACAAATTAATAGTGATCTTTTTTATAATAATTAGATGATTTTTTTAATAATGAGATAGAAAAGATCATCAAATTCACTTGTTCAATTTAAGAAAAAATTTCTTTTAGTAAACAATGTTTCAAAACCTGTTGTAAATAAATGAATAGAAGACACATATTTTAAAATTATAAATAAGTAACTCTTGTATCATATCTATCTACATTTGAAAACAAAAGGACACGATTTTTATTCCTAAACATTTATGATTTCGTACAAAATAATGATTATAGGAATACAAATTAAATGTGATCTTTTTTCATAATAATTAGATGATTTTTTTAATAATATGATGAAAAAAGATCATCAAATTCACTTGTTAAATTATAAAAAAAACTTCTTTTAATAAATAATGTTTAAAAACATGCTGTAAATAAATGAATAGAAGTTACATATTTTAAAATTAAAGATAAGTAACTCTTGTATCATATGCTTGTATCTACATTTGAAAACAGAAGATCATGATTTTTATTCCTGAAAATTTATGATTTCGTACAAAATAATGATTATAGGAATACAAATTAAATGTGATTTTTTTTTATATTAATTAGATGATTTTCTTAATAATATGATAAAAAAAGATCATCAAATTCACTTGTTAAATTATTAAAAAAACTTCTTTTAATAAATAATGTTTAAAAACATGTTATAAATAAATAAATAGAAGATACATATTGTAAAACAGGGATTGAAGCAATAAAGATGAAACTTTTTTGTTTGACTAAGTGCAAACGTTGCATTAGATAAGCATTCTGAAGTCATTGTTCTTCAGAACGCTGCAGAATATCTCAAAATTTTCCCCAAAACATTTTCTTTTCTTTAAAGTAAAAAAAAATTAAAATCTAAAATCTATTTATAAAAAAAAATTCAGAATTATTTTTTATATTATATCTGTCTCTACATCGAAGCAAACAGGAAATTAAGTTAATTTTTAAGAATTAATAGAAATTACTAAATCTATCTATAATATGATGAAAGAAACATCATCAAATTCACTCGTTCAATTAGTAGATGTAGAACTTTTTTTTTAAAAAAAAAATATTTCAAATTCCATGTTATTGCATGGGTCGAACGAATATCTTTTAACTTTTTTAAAAACATAAGGCAGGATTAAAAAAATATTGTTTAAAATTGACGATGCTTTTTTCCTACTACCATCTTTCTATACGGTAAGCTACATTTTCTCTTGAGAAAGTGAAACTGACATTTTCAAATAATGAAGTTTAAAATTATAAAAAATCTGATTTATTGTGTTGCTTAACATTCTGTGATGACTAGACTTTCAGAATATTTCATAATTTGATCACAAGCGTTAAGATTTTTTTAATTTTTTTAATTTAATCGAAATCAATCAATAAAAAATTGAAAATCTTCGTCTTAAAAGTGATTTAAATTTAATTTATGCATCATGTATTGTACAGTATGCATCTAAATTAATTATCTTGCTTGTATTTGGAAATAATAAAAACATAGCGACTAATTTATAGTGATCACAGAAAACTTTGAATTTATTAATATTATATTAAAAATAGATCATCAATTTCGCTTGAGATGAAGTTATTAAGAAAAGAGTTTGCTTAAGAAATAGTTTTCTTTAGCTTTTTGTAAAACAAGATTGCAAGGGATTTATTTTAGTATTATTCAAATTGTGATAGAATTAGGAAAGATAATTTAAATTTGCTTATGTAAGTTAACTTTCTTTTCTTTGTTTTTCTAAGTCGTAGTATCATCCGAGTTAAGTTATATGTTTGTGTAAGTAAAATAATTGTAAAACTGTTATTCCTGATTCTGAATTTGTAGAAAACCTGTACGGTGTTATAATTAAACATTATATTAATGGCTAAACTTAAAAAAGTTTTTTTTTCTCCATATATCTTGTTTTTTTTTAAGTTCAATGTATTTTCTTTGATGAATGAAAAAAACTGAACGTGTATGGAAATATCATTTTAGTAAAAAAAAAAAAGGAATTAAATCTAATGGAAATTATCAAATTACTTACAGATAATGATTACGGATTATCAAATTACGGACGGATTATCAAATTACTTACGGAATTAATTACGGATATGTAAATTTGCGAATTTATTATTTACTTAAATCAAGAACTTGAAATCTTTTTTTCTTCTATAAAACGATAAATAGTTTTCGCTTTTACACTACATTGATAGAAAATAATTAATTTAATAATCATTTATTTTTTTTAATTCGGTAAATGCTCAGTATTTATATTTTATTTTAAATCTAATCGCGAAACATTGAATAAATTTCTCAATTTTGTTTGTTGCATTACTTGTTATTGCATCACTTGTTAATGCATTCTGCAATGTGGGAAACATTCAACTATTGCATGCAATATTTTATTAAAAATTCAATGTAGGTATTTGAATAAAAATTATGCTACGGAAAAAGACGCGTAAATTTTATTTTTAACATTGAATTATTGAAGCATAGAAAAAAATAGTTACCATTTTTTCATAGTTTATACAAACCTAAACTGCTTTTTTCAAACTGCTGTATAGACGATTTCATGCGTTATTATTTCGAATTTAAAAAAAAAAACATGACTCTGTTTTTTCACAGCTTGTATCTCGATATCACATAATGGAAGAAAACGTGAGCAAAAATGTGCAAATAGAATTCTTGTGAATTATTCATAAGACACGAAATCACTCTCTCATTGGCTGTGTCGCCATCACGTCTGTGATTATATTATGTTTGGGGTAAAAAAAATTGGATTTACTCACTTCATGAAAGGAAAAAAATCTCTAAATTCGCAGAAAAAAAAATCCTTGTATTTTTTAAAGAATCGGAAAAAGTTAATGTTGAAAATTTCATCATTTTTTAAACTATACATCTGTGTATTGTCATTGTTATGTATACGAATATATTATTGTTCTGGATATATTGAAATCTGGATTTATACTTCAGTATGATTTTGTAGTTAGGAGAAAAAAAAAAGATTCCTGACTTTCTGTACAAATTAGAAAAATAACTTCTCCTATCACCGTTGTAAATTTATTATCATGTAAATTATATATCGTTATAAATTATCGTTATTATATCAGTAAATATATTTTGGTTAGGTAAAAAACTGAAACGTTTATTCGCTTCTTGTTAATAATATTTTTGTTACTAGAAAAAAAGTCCCTAGATTTCTGAAAAATATCAGAAAAATAATTTCAGTTTTCCTTGTAAAATTTAATTATTCATACTTGTTCAGTTCCTTTCATTATTTATTTAATTTTATTCTTTAAAAATAGACAAGATATATTTATTAGTAAGTAATTGGAGCTAACACTTGACTTAACAGGGAGGAGAATGAATAGATTAAAATTCTTCTTTAAATTTTTGCCTAAAATGTTAAAATCAATTTTCGGCGTTCACAGTATCGTGCTTGTTGCGGACATGATATTTACAAAGTTTGATTACTCATAATTAAATAACAAATTGAGTTAGGTGACTTTTTTTTATATTATAAAATCAGGAGAATTCTTTTGATCCAGGGCATGTTTAAAAATTAAAATGAATTTAAACACCTCTAAAATAAAAGTGTTGCGGACATGACGCTGAAAAATATGGTTTTTAGAAAGTTTTTGTACATTCCCCAAAATCTCTGAATTTTATGAAATAAATTAAGACCTTTTTTAGGTAAGATTTCAGTGTGTATTTGTATAAAAGAAATCACAAGACTTTTGAAGAAATAAAATTAATTTATTTAAAAGTTACCAAATTAAAAATATCGTGTATGTTGCGGACATGACGTGCAGACGTGACAAAAAATTTATTTTCTTTGTTAATTTTTTTTGTTAAATAAAATATTGAGTAAATTATTAATGTTTTATCCTTTTTCTTTTTAATATTCAAAATTTTTAAACTTAGATTTTATTATTAAATTAATTATTCTAAATTACTTTTATTTTAGATTCCAGACAAAAGAGGTGTAAAAAAATCCAATACAATTTATTTATTATGTTATTCATCTTTAAAATAAGTTCTATGAATAAAACCGTGCAGACTGATCAGGTGAAGGAACATGGGACAAAAGGCATGAGTCAGTTTAAATCGTTAAAAATGTCAGTTTTTCCAAATACTTAAATTTGTTTACAATTAGGGGCTTGATGTTGTGTTTAAGTGTCATATCTGTCTTGATTGTAGAAATTATTTGGCCAGACCACCATTAGTTATCAAACAATATGGCTATCCACTGGCCTTCTTCTAAAACTGTAGCTGATGTTAAAGCTTATTGTTCTGAAGCTGCAGCAAGTTTTGAAGGCAGTTTAATAAATAATACAACTAGGTGCGTAATTTCGGTACTAGAGAAAGATCAATTCAAAGAAAATTCAACTGAATTAAGTGTTATAAGCGAGGTGAAATGTTATAACCTTGTATTTGGGATCGATATGCAGAGACTATAATGTTCTTTATACATTGATCAGGGTGCGTAGTGTTTTTAAAAAGTGCTTAAAGGTGCTTATTTTCGATTTTGGTTTTTTAAAAGCCCTTAAAGGTGATTTTTTCATTGGGTGTTTTAAAAAAGTGCTTAATGTTCCCTTTTCGAAAATGAGATTTTTTCTTTACTATTTCGATTTTCTCGTTTTATGCAAAAGCGCGCTTTTCACATTGTTCTATTCTACGTTTTCACAATTCATTCACCCACAATCTATTCTGGCGTACGGTCGGTTCATAGCGTATGAAAGCGCCAATCATTTTGCATGTTCGATGAAATACTTGCGAGTTCGCATGTGCGTCTACTGAGCTGGGTTCGGTGAGATTATTTCCCTCTCATGTGCAACTCTGCTGCATTTTTCAAGATATTCTCAATGTCAGGCTTCATTTTCCCCTCTCTGATATCGAACCGAAAAATCTCATTTTATAATGGCTAATAAAACCAAGAAAAGAGTCCTTTGTCAGAGACTAGTTATTTTATTATGTTCATGTAAAGTCTTTGAAAATTAATTTGCTTTTTGTTAATGTATAGAGTGCTTAAAAATATTTTTTGAGTGCTTAAAAAGTACTTAAAAGGTGCTTATTTTTTGTTGAAAAATTTGGCTACGCACCCTGATTGATGCCTCATGTTCGACAGTGTCTTTGCTTACAAACATTATTTTTACATTTCCATATGAAATTTTACAAGCCACTTCAAAAAAAAGAAGGGTTTTGCATCAACGACAACCTTGCAATAGAGCTCTCCAAACAACGTTTCTGATGATGCCGCTGCCCTATTCCAAAGATGGTTCCTTTCCCGTGAACAGTTTTAAAGAATGATGATCAGTCAACATCAATGTCGAATTCTTTTTTTTTTGGGAAAAGCCAAATTTGCGAATAAAAATTTATTTTTCAACTGGCTGGCAGTTCCATCATACCAGTATTGTACTTTTTTAGTTGTACTTAGTTACTTTAGTTGTAATGTACTTTTATAGTTTTAGTTGAGATAAAATTTCTAAAACAAAAATGTTAGAACAAGATTCCAAAACGAAACAAGTTTTTGTAAGAAGAAAATAAAATGTGCAATATATCTTTTGACGTCATTGATAAAAGTGAACATTGAAAACATTTTCACGATATCTTGATTGTGTGATAGGTCATCAGAGATAATGGCATACGGACTGATGGTTTAATGAATTATTTCTGCCATCCTTGAAATATGCAACACAAGTGTACACTATGACGCTGTCCGAATAAAAGTGGGCACTCATGATTTACGGATCATGTTTTACAGTATAGTTTTTAGTAAATGTCGATATGGATTATATTTTCATTCCCTGAAAGATCTTCTTTCGAATGGCGAAATTCAAAACGTTGTTTATAAGCATCATAAATATGTCTTGCAAATGATCGATTCACAATTTCTTCAACAGTGATTCAGTCTGTTGCCATTGATAATACTTGACAATGTTACCTAAATTTTGCTCTGGTATTTTTGCATCTAAGTATTTTTCTATGCTGCATTCTTGACCGGATCTTTCAATGAAGATGATATGTTTCTCATCAAAATTACAAGCACTTTCTTCTGCAATTGTTTCAGTATTTTGTTTTTTTTGAAGATCGGTTCCCAGAGCTCCAATTCCTGAAAGAAGCATGGCTAAGTTTTCGTAGCATATGCACATACAGACTTCCTGGTCTTTCTTTTCAGATGGAAGGACGCACTTACGATGAAGCTCGTGAAATTTAGTTTTCCCAATATTTAAATCAGAAAAAAAAAAAAAATCAAAAATTTTTTTTTTGCTTCTTTAATGCTCATTACTAGATAACGCTTTTGGTGTTTTTCTCTTCATTTACGTGTTTTTATGGATATCACTTTCGTTTTTTCTGTTTCGTTTTTTCGTTTACGGCTAATATCATCTCTAATGAAAAATTGTTTTACTTTTATTTCGGTTTCCTCTGGTAATTCCTTGTTTTTCGCCTACTAATTTCGGAATCTGTTCTTAAAATATGAACCTGTTGCCGGCATTTTAAATAATCCGCTTTCTTTTTAATGGAGACATTTTTGATATCATATTTGTTAAAACATGAAGTTTGTTCTGGGGAGATTATTAATTTTCTTTACCGCAAAGCATTATTAATTTTCTTTACCGCTTTTCCCAAAGACTGTCTACTCGTGTAGCCGGATATAATCATGCTTGATTTTTCACCTGTCGCTTTTTTCTTTCTACATTTCCTTTGTTTTTCTTTATTTTTGGTTCTTATGTGCTCGTTTTGTTCTTCAGTAAGAACCTTAGAATTTCGATATTCTTCTTTCTTTTTTTTTCTAGCTTTCTTCTGCTTTGATAGTTTTACATTTCACCGCGACTGCTTTCAATTTCTGTCTTCTCAGTTGAGACCTTTCTGTACTTGCTAATGGCATGAGGAATTTTATAGTCTTACGAGTATATATTCGTTTTCAAGATTTATAAACTTTAATTAATTATATAATAAATAAATCAACTAGCAACGATTAAATCTTTACAAAACTCAAAGAAAAATTTAATTTAATAGAAAAACATCTGCAAAAAAGCATGTGCATGAACTAAATAGCTTTAAAAATAATGTTCTATTCTAAACGATGTTCTATTCTAATTAATGTTTTATTAACTGATTTGTTGCCATTATTCCTAACATTATTTAGAACATGTTGTCATAATTGCAGATGTTTTTTAAATTAAAAATATAAATTTTTTTTATTAAATGAAGCATAAATAAATCAACTAGCAACGATTAAATCCTTTCAAAACTCTAAGAAAAATTTAATTTTATAGAAAAACATCTGCAAATAAACTTGTGCGTAAACTAAATAGTTTTAAAAATAATGTTCTATTCTAACAATGTTCTATTCTAATTAATTTTCTATTAACTGTTTTGTTGCCATTATTCCTAACATTATTTAGAACAAATACACATGTTGCCATAAATGCAGATGTTCTTAAATATATATGAATAATATATATATTTTTTAATAAATGAAGAATTTAGACATATTTTAAACAAAGTAATTTGTTAATGTAAAGTAAATTGCAACAGTGCAAATTTTATAAATTTAATAATTTGTGATACAAGTTTATTGAAAAGGATTTTTTTATCAAGCTCAAATGTTTATTAAATGTTACTGAAATTGCATTTTGAAATTTGTCCCGTCTGTAACGTTGCGGACAAGACCAATTTAAAAATTCTTTAAAAAATATTAAATAAAAAAAATTTATAATTTTTTAAAAATCATAATAATACAACTCTGCAAATAGTCGGCAGGAATATAATTTTTACGAAAGTAAATATTTTAACTGCTTTGTTTTAATAAAAGTTTTAAAAAAAACCTTTAAAAAGCAAACATGTTCTGTTATAAGTACCCCATATTTAAGTACTAAAAATAAAAAAGACGTTTTTTCAGTCATTATTGTGCCAATACAATATATATCTCTTAAAATATCGTGTTTATTACAAATATTAAATGTTGCAATTGCAATTTTTTTTTCTCTTTATCATGTCCGCAACTTTTAAACTCGATTTTTTTCATTTTATGCAATTTAAAGAATTTACATCAGCTTTTTAAAAAAAACTAATTTAATATTCATAAAATACATTTAGTTACTTTTAATTTGATATGTGGTTTATTAAATTTATTGAAAAAAGTTTTTTAAGTCTGCCATGCTACAAATAGTGTGGAATCTTGTTTACAAATTTCATTCCTAAGAGCCGACAACTTATACATATTTTGTACTACCACCATTCTATTCACTTGTAAAGTATCTGTTTAAATAATCACCTAAAATTGTTTATCTTAGTTTTGCATTTTTGTTGTGGAATTTTTATTAATATGAATAGAAATGTGAAAACTTATAATAATATTGGTAAGTATGGTGAGTATAAGGTTAATACATACATCTATAAAGTAGAGATAGAAAACAAATCTTTCTAACATGCTGTCAATATAAAAATAAATTTAAAAATAAAATAAATACATAAATTTTTTAAAGTTAGCAGAGAAAAATCACTGACACCAGAGTTTCCTACAGTGTTAGAAAGGTAAAGACTTGCTCTGAGAAAAAAAGTAAAGAACATAACTATCAAATTATGATAAAATTTACCCTGTTTTTTGTTCTATGAGAACACCAAAAAGTTCGGTAATTTTTATCGATATACTTTTGTAATGATTTTCATAAAATTATCAGTAAATTATGGTTTTAAAGTACGTGATAAAATTTGGTAAATGTCGTAAAATTTGCCAATTTTAACACGATACCTTTGAGCCTGGAATAAAAAATTATTTTTCCGGTTAAACTTACTTTTCAGTTTTGTATTTTTCACTAAATGCGTGATAATAGGAACTATAATTTTGAAAACCGGAATTTTCAGTAAACCGTTGTCAAATAAATGGTTTAAACAAATAAATGGTTAAACTTCGGTTCGTTCGAAAGTTTTCTTCAATTTTTCCATCAAACTTTGACTGGCACTATATCAGTAGTCTAGAGTCACTAGAATAGTTTTAGCCTCTTAATGTTAATTAATCTCACTTTTTGATCTGTAAGTCTTAAAATGAATTGATTCTTTTCGGCGCACAATTCATTTATCCAAAAACTATTCAATGTAAAAACTGGCTTTTAATATTTTTCATTTTTTGCTATTTTACATCATAGGAGACGAAAAATATGTATTATCGTTATGTATCCAAATTTTATACCATTTCAAATTATGCAATTTTAAATGACAGAATGCAAAATTTAAGAGAAGTTGCTTAAATATTTTCTGCAGAATAGTGCAAAAATTTATATGCCTTACAACAGAAAAGCTTTCCAAACCTTTTTAAGTAAAATGATAGAAATTTAT